GGGTGCAGAGTGCAGGAGGGGGGCTCGGCAGGGGGTTGGGGTGCAGGCTCCAGCCTGGCACCGCTTACCTGGAGCAGCTCCGGGGTGGCAGTGGGGCTACGGCAGGCTGCCTGCCCTGGCCCTGCGCCACTCCCAGAAGTGGCGAGCACCATGGCCTTGCGGCCCCTGGGTGGGGGAGGGGCAAAGGGCTCAGTGTGCTGCCCCTGCCTGCAGGCACGGCTCCCCGCAGCTCCCATTGGCCGTGGTTCCCCCTTCCCGGCCAATGGGAGCTGCAGGGAGTGGTGCACAAGGATGTGGTGCTGGCCACTTCTGGGAACAGCGTGGGGCCCGCGGCACCATGGGGGAAGCAATCCCACGGGCCAGATCCAAAGCCCTGATGGGCCGTAGTTTGCCCACCCATGCTCTAGAGAAATCTGTAGTATCCTTCATTGGAGGAAGGTGGAACAGACTAAATAGCATAAGGGAGCAGACCTAGCAAGAAGATGTCAGACTGAAGAAATTGGGAGAGCTGATGGGAATCAAAATGGAGGGACAATTCAAATCAAGCAGTTTTAAAGACTTTTGGGAAGATACTAAAGGCTTCTGGACACAAGTTGAAAGCTAGCTGAAGCAATGAGGAAAACACAGGAGCTCTGTTCTACAGGTCTGAAACAACCTTATGAAACGAAGGTTGTGAAAAAGCTCCATCATAGCTGTGCCAATTTTGATGGAATAAGCGGGACTGTTTATTCCATGACCGTATCACTGTACAATACTAAACAATTCAACGTGGTTCAGGGTTTTGAATATGGAGAGCTTGGCCTGCTAACTCCCGGAAAACACACAATTCATGCCAAAGCTTGGAAACTTAGTGATTAGGATACACAGAGAATTGGAAACTAAAGGTGTATTGGTTTTGCGTAACTCACTCAAATTTCAAGTTATGAACTTTCACTCACTTTTCAATAATTGAGCTTGCAATTGTGGCAGGTCTGTAAGACCTCATTTGTTAGAACAGTATCTTCTCCCAACAGTATCTTCTCCCATCTCCCCAGAGG